TATATGAACCAGGTAGCAGAGCTACTTATTTGGGGGCTACATGGTGAACACCGAGGGTGTCTTTTCACCTTGGTGCAGTTTTTTATAATCTGTTTGAAAGGTTTTGGCCAGAATAAGGAGGCTAAGACTTCTTGACATTTAACGGTTTATTTGGTTGGAAAAAAATACTTGTATATTACATGGGTGTCTCTTTGCACTTAGATTTGCTATAGGATAAAGATTATGTTTTTGGATTCTCAGTTGTTCTCTGTAATTGGTTTTTTAAAGGAAATTTCTTGACTTATGTGCAAGGAGATTGGACAGCTTTGGGTTGTTCTCATTTTTGCCTTGGAGTTGTCGTCTCACTAGATGTACCTCCCATTCTTTCTTTCTAATAAAATATTCTTCATTTCTCCGAAAAGAAAAAAAGGGTTAACATTGTACGATAGTAAGAACAACTATCATTGGGTACTCAGGAGGAAACTTTACGTACATGGAAGGAACATATCAGTTAATAAATAGTGATCTAGCTTTTGATGTTTGTTACTTTTGAAGGAAGCTTAAATGTTTGCTTAATTTATCCAAGTTAGTTGGGAAAGTTAATTCGGTTTTTTAGTGCTTTGCTTTGAAGGTTTATGCGAATTTTTAGTACTTATTTTCTTCATCCACTTTATTGTCTATTTTTCTATGCAGTTTGTTTTGTTTGGAGAAATTGTTTTGGCCCAGAAGGTTATGTATGACAAATTTGGGGATGATTTTCTAGTTCATTTTATATCAAAAGGGTTTTCTGCTGCACATTGCCCGCCAGATCTGGCAGAGCAATATCGTCAAAAGTTGCAGGTAATCAAACTTCATGGAGCTGAAATATTTTTTTTCTGGTCCTGCTGAAGAAAAATTTATTGATGCTTTTTGCCCTGTATTCTTTCCTGCAAGTTCTTCTCTGCTAGGCTTATATGTCGTCAATCATTCAATGAAAATATTTTTATTTTATTTTTATTTTTATTTCTTCTGTTGGAGTGTCTTGCTGAGTGAATCTTAGTGCATGTTTACTAGGTGAATCACGCGTTGAATATCTGACGTATTAGGCCTAATGTTCCCATTATTTCTTTCTGCAGGGTGGTGATATTAAGGCACTAAAATCTTTCTATCAGTCACTCGTAGAAAATTTGAGATTACAGCAGAATGGTAGCCTTGTTTTCAGATAGCACTTATTTGGGAAAGCTTATGGAGTCCTCTTCCTATACGGCTTTATTTTTTGGCTGTCTCCTAGTTTGGGGTTATAATTTATGTCCGCCAAAGGTAATTATGACTGTTTGTGATGATACCAAGTTTGAACTCCATTTTTTATTTTTTAATTCCCTCTCAGTAGTGCGGTCATGGGATGGTGGTGAATACTGCAGGGTTGTGTATATATCTTTTGCGGATGAGCTATGGATATTCTTCTCCTGGCCCTAATTTTGATGAGTTCCTTCCTCTGCAACCTGACCAATAAGTAAATTGTCACAGGTCTTTCTTTATTCTTTTGTCCCACTGTGTAAATTTTGGGTATTCTCTTATTACATTTGAGTCCCATCCAAAGGTTTGAAGTTGTCCATATGAGATCAAAATTTTGGTATTTGATCTAATGACCGTGTCTTCCCTTTTCTCAAATCCTTTTCCCCCGGCTAATTTCGTTTCCTTTTACTTCCAAATTTGTTTATACCAATTTAGTTTATATATTTGTCTTTGCACTTCGAGGTTATGATCTACATCATTGAGCTTGTGTATGCGACTATTAAAAGAAAGGTAATTATACTCCATTACACGATGGTTATCAAAATAATTCTAAATTCTAAAATCATAAACTATAGTTCATTTTTTCCCCTTAACTTATTAAATATTGTTAATTTTTTTAACAGTTTATATATTTGTCTTTGCACTTGTGAGGTTATGATCTACATCATTGAGCTTGTGTATGCGGCTATTAAAAGAACGATAAGTTATACTCCATTACACGATGGTTATCAAAATAATTGTAAATTTTAAAATCTTTTTTCCCCTTTAACTTATTAAATGTAGTTAATTATTTTAAAATAAAAATATTATTTAAAGTATTTTTGTAATAATTATCTCTTTAGTAAATTATATAAATAAGCTTTTGTATTTAAAATATTGTTTTAAATTAATATCTTTTTATTCACATTTTAAATTAGTATTTTCCTTATAAATTTTGGATAAGATATTGCACTTATCTTTTTTATGCTTATAATATCTATTCCTTTTTAATATAGTTAGATCAGAATTTTAATAAAAGATAGAAATGGTGAAATTTAATTGAGATTCTGATTTAACAGTATTGGGGATGAGATGAGTAAATAGAGTAGGCATTTGTCTCTATAAATTTAGTATGTATTATTTATAATTTTTTAATTGAGACAAAAGGTTAATTACTTGAATAAAAATCCCATGAATGAGTAGTTTCATTTTTTGCCTTGTAGACAATGAATATGAAAAGCGTTAACATTGTCGATGCCCAGCCAAGTCAGCCCACAGGATTTGGAACGATAGCCCAAGGTGGCAGCATGTCTCAACTTTAGGAATCTTTCGCATGCTCACGGAAGAGATCTTGGGGGGTGTCAATTTATAATCCAATGTAGTTGGAAATTGGAATCGAAGCACAAATGTTCCAAACCACAATGAAACTTCATGCTCTAATCCATAACATTAAAGAACCCATTCTGCAGGAAAACCTAATTCAACAGCTTAAAAATAATGGGAGTAAGACTGAACTTACAACTTTATCCCTATATTTTATCAGTATATTGGAATATTCAAGTGTGATGAGTTTTATATTAGTTGGTAATGGATTAAGAAAAAATGCATATAAGTGGGAGGACTCATGAACTCAATGCCTTAAAGTTTTGGGTTAAGATGTGGTGTCCGACTCATTTGATATGATGGTGTAATCTTAGCCCATTGGTGGTGGTTTCTTGCCACGAGCTGCCCCTGGACTCGCCTGAAAGTGGTATCAAAACCGGGTTGAGTTCAGATTAACCAGGTGTTTGGCTAGGAGGCGGGTTGAGTACCTGGGCCCTGGGGTACTCAGTTGAGTGGGTGCATACCAATGGTGAGTTTCACATTTGAGGGGGAGATCGTTGGAAATTCAAGTCTTTTAGGTGGGTCTAGGGGAAGCCTGTGGCAGGGGAACATCACCAATGGGCTAAGGCTACACCATCATATCATGTGAGTCCGACACCACATCAAACCTTAAGGCATTGGGTTCATGAGTCCTCTCACTCATATATATTTCACTTAGCCCATTATCAATCAATGTGGAACTCATCACACTTGAATATCTCAACAATCTCCCCCTCAATGTGAAACCAGCATTGATATATTCCTCCTCAATTAAGTTTCTAGCCCAAGTACTCAACTTGCCTCCTATCCAAACACCTGGCTTGTCCGAGCCCAACCCGCCTCTGATACAACTATCAGGCGGGTTCAGGAGGAGTCTGTGATGGGGGACCACCACCAATGGGTTAAGGCTATACCACCATATCAAGTAGATCCGACACCGTGTCTCAACCTAAAATTTTAAGGCATTGGGTTCATAGTTCTATCCATTTACATCCACTTCACTTAGTCCATTAACAAACAATGTGGAAATATCCCAACAATCTCCCCTCAAGTGTGAAATCCAACATTGGTATGCTCTTCTGCAATTGAGTACCCAGGCTCAAAGTACTTAACCTGCCTCCTAGCCAAACTCATCACACTTAAATATGTCAACAATTCCCCCCTCAAGTGTGAAACTCAACATTTGTATACTCTTCATCAACTGAATACCCAAGGCCAAAGTACTTAACCTGCCTCCTAGCCAAACACCTGGTTATCCCGAGCCTAACCCGACTTTGATACGACTATCAAGCGGGTCCAGGAGAAGCCCGTGGTGGGGGACCACCGCCAATGGGTTAAGTTATACCAACCATAGCAAGTGGGTCTGACACCACATCTTAACCCAAAATCTTAAAGTATTGAATTCATGGGTCCTCTCATTTATATATACTTCACTTAGCCTATTACCAATTAATATTGGACTCGTCATACTTAAATATTCCAACAAACACGTTGAGTGTGAAATAATAATGGTGGTCTAATCTTGAAATGAGTCTGGTTGAAAAGTTGAATACTTCCTTCAGCCATGTATTTCTCTTTCTTCTCTTTCTCTCTTATTTTTTTGTTACAAAGTCCAGTGTGACCGAGAAGAGATCCCACCCTTATATAGGACTAGGGATGTGCATGGGTTGAACTAAACCAATTTTTTTTGAAAAAACGATCCGAGTTGGTTTAAACGGTTTAGTTCGAAAATGGTTCGGTTCAATTCAAAATTGGTTCGGATCGACCCTATTTTGAAAAGAAAAGAAAATTTAAAATTTAAAAATAAAGTTATAAAAATCAATTCGGTTCGGTTTGAAAACAGTTCGGTTTGAAAACTGGTTCTAAAAACTGGTTCGGTTCATGAACTGGTTCTTTAAAAACTGATTCGGTTCATGAACTGGTTTTTAAAACTGGTTATTTTAAATGCAATTCAGTTTGGTTCAATTTTTTCGTTATTTTGCACACCCGTGTATAGGACCAAGGGCAAAGGGTATCCTACCTAAAGAAAAGGAAGAGGGGGGAGACAGAAAAGTAAAAATGGTAGTAGAGCATACCCCACTCAAATTTGACTATGATTTTTTTTTTTTTTGTATTTAATTAGAATTTGGTTTGGTTTTGATTACTTCATTGTTGAACTAAAAATACTACTTCAATGTTTTATGTAATGCACACTTTTGATATCAATAAGATAATTCTTCTTATTCTATTTCTATTTCCATTTCTTTTCTATCACTTATACTATTTGTAATAATTATACAAATTAAGAGATACCCATCCATCCCCCCATCACCCTTGAGCTCTATTTGATATACAAGCCTACCGTATTAATCCAGCCTAGGTACTAATTGAACATTGTCATGTATTCCATTGACGATGATAGTATTTTATGTAGAGACACTATTAGGAACCCCTCTACATGTAACGCCAGGTTGGGAGGTAGGTGCAAGTAACTCATAAGGTAAGACTCCAGCACCACAACGGTTCCTGAGTGCTGTATCAGAATTCCTTCTCTCAATCTCCTTCTCTATTCGTCTGATCTCTGCCGAGAACCTGTAGAATGCCTCAATGATCTCTGCGTCACCTGACCATATTGATGGGTGTTGCCGCTCCCCCAAATACTCTTCGTCAGGTGAGTGAGTAGAGAGCATGTCAACCACTGCCATATATTTTGTAGCTTGTAACAAGCTAGGCAACGCATTTAGGAAATATTTTTGAGGATCTGCAATGAAATTGGCATATTCTGGGTCACTCTCTTCTGGGATTAATCTTCGCGTTAATGGGGGACGATTTGGGACATAACCTCCGTAAGGGTACTGCCCAAAATTAAGAGCAGCATGTTGTGCGGATGCTGTCCAAATCAAGGTGGTGACGATAGACACAAGATCGTCGCTATTGTTCAATGTGGGCCACCAGCTTTCATGCCTGAGATCAGCATGGCCCACATTGATTGACTCAGAGTACCAAGCTTGTAGCTCTTTGTCATTGCAAATCATGATGCTTGAATGATGGTAGTAGTGGTTCACATAAGTGCGGACCCAGTTCTCAATTGCAGACCATATCATAAGCCCATCCGTTGCATAAGGATAGTCTTCTATAAGGAGCTTTAGACCATTTTGTTGTGTTGGGTCAGGTATCGCTATTCCCCTGCGTATGAGATCTGCAGGGAGGCCCTCCATGTCAAAGCGCCACAAGTTTCTGTATGCAGCACAACTGATCTCCATGCAGTAGCGACCAGGAGTAAAACAAGATTCAATTATTCCATCAGCATTGATCAGGCTCTGCCGAGCTAAAGCATTGATCCCCAATGTGTACCTCATGTGTGGATCCAACAGTTTCAAAATAGGATGCATCGCACTTAATTGCCTATGAGCACACAATATAAATGGTTCCATGCAGGCATGCGTGCGTAACCTATTTATATATATATATATATATATATATATATATATATATATATATATATGTATAATTAATTTAGCAAAATAATCGATCAGAATATATATAAGATAAAAAAGAAAATGTATATTCTAATATATATATATATATATATAGTTTAAAGAACTATATAATTGATTACCAGTGGTTAACAAGTTGGTGGACGCCGGCATCATTGGCGCAAACATGAGCCTTGGCAAGCTGCCACATCCAATTGGTAGTTGCATCCACGGGAGGGGTAACTACGCGTTTTGATCGGGAACTTGGACCGCCAGGGGGGAGGCTAAGTTCTATAGCAATAGGCTTGAGAGTGCCAAGTGGTGTCAATAAAAATATGGTCCGTGTAGCATACGACTTTCTACCATCAAGGGCATTGATCCCATCAAGAAATGGAAGATAGACATCATGGTAGTTTATCATAAACAGCTTATTTTCCACTAATGCCTGAAAAATTAATTCAAAGAAATAAATTCAATATATATACTAAGAGATCCAGCTCATGGGATTTGGTTATATATAAAAAGTTTTTATTAAGGATTTTGAGGGTCACCTGTCGCACAGTCATGCCATTAAGTTGTCCTAAAATGTGCTCTTCTTTAAGTGCAGAATCTTGGGGACCATATATTTCCGGGTCAAGCTTGCTCACCGGTGGGAAAACTTTAAGCCCCTCAATGTTAACAGGGTTGATTCCTGCTAATGCTTGCCGGGCAAATTCGTCGTCTCGCAGCCACGCAAACTTGTCCTCTGCACATTAAAAACATATGATATCATTAGTTTAATCAGCTAGCCAGAAAAGTAAATACATATTCACTCACTCGGGTTATAATAATAATAATATAACATTATAGTCCCACATGTTAAAAACTTGCAATCAAAATAATGATACGCCAACAAATTGAAATCTTACTACAAAGGGCTGATGCAGGAAATTAGCTTACGCCAAAATTCTAATAAAAAGGAAAAGACAAGGGGATACTCACTGGAAATAATCATGGGGGTGTCATACTTAAGAAGAAGTCCCTGTGGCAATGGGATTTTCTCTTGCATGAGCATCCCTTCACCGTAAAGGTCATCAACGTCAGAAAAAACGTTGAAGTCGTGATTATCAGGGGAAAGACTAGCCTTAAGACCGGGGATCAAGTTGTGGAGCACTGCCTTGAGCCTCATGTTAGAGAATGTGTTCTGCTTAGACTCCTCGAATTGTTCGTCCCTTGGTACGTACATTGGCACTGGTTTCTCCACACGACTCTCTGCATACATATCTGTAACATGCAAGCAATGTTGTTTACCTAAAACTCAGTTTTCAACCAAATTACGAAATAAAATAAAATAAAAGTATTTTAGAAAGAAAAAAAATAATAATAAAATAATACTACTAGCAAAATCAATATCTGTAGACCATCAGACTTTTACTCTGATAGTGATTGATTGCTTTAGTTGTTACCTGTATCAGTGGGGGCGCGGCCAGTGCGACAGCGTCTTGGGAATGGATGGTTTTGGGATCCACCAAGAGTTGGTCGTGTAAGTTCAACTCCTTTATCTGGATTTCCCAGATCATTGTATTTATCGAAATCATATATTCTATCAGATAAAGTTCTAACTCCTTTGCCATCACCCCTTAGATTTATCAGCTCTTTCTCCCTTAGTACTCTAAGCCCAGCAGGTGTATCTCCAGGTAAATATGGCTGTCAAATTAAATCACATAATATATTAGTGCTATCTTTATCTGAGTGGGTGTATTAATTAAATGCTGTCGGTGGTTGATACGTAAACTCAAGCCCAAGGGTCGTTAACGAGAGCATTTTTGGTACAGTTGCCCTGAGTGCGACGGTCATATTTTCTTTATGTATTAATGGGAGTATATAATAAAAATATTAAAGAAAAAAAAAAAAAAAACCTCCCTCGAATTCATATTACAAATATGAACACGTATACTAAATTTTTCCGTCCTTAACCATGCATTAGTCAATTAGAATTGGATTTTCAAAACTCATTTCATTGGCTGCTTGTTTGCGAGTTCAATTACAAATTGCAGCCACTCCCTGTTTTCTTTGATGTAAAATAAATATAAAGCAGCCGACTAAACAATTGGAAGTTGAAATTTTCAATATAAAAAATAAAAATAAAACAAATGGCTTCCCTGGTCAACCAACTAGTTGGTTGGCATTCAAGAAATAGTGCTATTAATTTAAAATTGAAATTGCTTTGACCTGTCCAAGCTGAAAATAATAAATAAATAATACAGAAATAAAAAATTATTTAAGATTTGAGCATGGCAGAAAAAAAAATAGTTGAGAACAGATTACCTTGTTAGAAAAGAATATCCTCTTTCCAGGATGATCCTTGGTGGGTCGTACCCATGAGTTGCAGGGGAAATGAACTGCTCCGCTGGCAAAGCCTTCGATGGTTATGCTTTCCAAGAAGAATTCTCTCTGGTTTTTGTTTGTCACAGTAATAGCTCCGGGAAACCCAAAATTCGAGTCAACAACGAAATCAGCCGTGTATTTAACTCTCTCTGCTTTAGCATTGGATTTCTTCGACCAGTCCTTCAGCTCTGCTTCGTTGCTCTTCTTTGGAGCTTTAGTTTCTACAGAGCAGAGCAGAATAAGAACCAAACCATTAAGCAAAAATTCATTGAAGAAATAGGTATAATTTACGATGATATCCAGGACAGAAAATTGTTGGGTCACAGAAATGATAGTTTTTGAGAGTGATTGGAAACAATGATATGATGAGACGTGACACACACTGCCTGGGCCCTGGAGCAGAGAAAGCCTTACTTGGATCAATCACAGTGCTGATAAGCTCCAGCACAACATTTCTTCTTCCTATTCTATCAGTGATGGAATCCAAATGCTTCGCAATGGTCTCTTTAAAATTCTCTTTGATCTTGTTCCTCACCGTCACTACAGCTCTAACCTTGAATTGCACTGGTTTCTCTACATGCATAGAGGCCTTTACCAAATCCTCGCCGATAGCTGCCACCGGAAACCTCGCAGCCTTCCTCAACCTCATAACTCGTCTGTTTCCCAAAGGAACCAAGATAGGGTGGAACAAGTACTGGCCCTGCTTCTGTTGAAAACTATTGTGCAGAAGCACTTTTGAGGAAGAAACTATCAATGAAGAACCCATAATTTCCTTTGCAAGGACCATCTTCTGTTTCTCAACTCGTGCTGTGTGGGCTCTGCTTCGGTGGCAGAAGAAATGAGATGATGACGCTAGCGCGTGTGTTGCGATGGAATGTTATGAGCTGCCTCATATTGCTTTTATACAAACAAGAGTAGCACCAATTCCATGAAATGAATATCAGCTTCCACACGGTATTTAAGAAAAATAATACTAACTATACAAAAAAAATAAAAAAAATAATACTCATAAATTGTGAATCACCCTGTCTTTTTCGCTGCTTTCTTTTCTTTTGTTTGCCCATTCAAATAACTGGGCTCCTGAGTCAAAACGAGCTTGGGGAAGAAAAACACCGTGTGTACGGGAAACTAACTGGACATGAATCTCAAAGTATTCCATTCAACGGCCTCTTTTTATGCAAATCCCTAGTTAGCATTCCTTTTAGCGGGTGTGATAAACGAACCAGGGCCTATATGGTCTATGACTCGGCTCGTGAAGATATGAGCTTACATGTCTAATATTGATTTTTGGAACTCGACTTGTATAAAAGTTCGTTTAATAAAAAAGTCTCAGGCTCTAATTTAAAAGTTCGGCCTTAGAGCCTCTCATGCTGGTCTAATATATTAATTTTTATTTTATATTTTTTATACTACTTGTAATAGCTCTCTCTCTTCAATCCATTTCACCCCATTTTATTAGTTAAACATACTTTTGGATGATTTTGTTCTATATTATGTTGTTTGTATATACATTGAATTTATCAATATTTATGGAATTATAGTGTTGTTGATTGTATATTCTGTTTGAATAAATTTTTTTGTCTTATTTTTTTAAACAGGTTAATTTAGGCTTTTATTTTTTGTAAATAAACCAGGCCACATTCCGCTAATTATATTCATAACAGGTAACAAGTTTAGTCAGACTGACACATTTAAACACAGACTTGGCCTTTTAAGACCAAAGCTCGACTCGGCTCGGCTCAACCCGTTAACATCCCTACCTTTGAGCCCCTTTCTATATGTGTGTTTTAAGTGCCAATACTAAAATGTGAAAGCACATAAATATAGTTTATGGGAAAATAGTTGTTGTCTTAGAGGACACAAGTTGTGTTTTTTTTTTTTTTTTTTGGGTAATAAATTGTGTTATCGTAATTGCTCATAATATGTACATATAGTTATAATATTAAAGTAATGTTTTTTTCCATTTTCTATGTTAGTCGACAGGTTCTGAAGAGGAAAAAAAATATAACTTTAATATTATAACTATGTATTCTTCAAAATACATAGTTATAAGCAACTAAAAAAACTTGTGTCCTATAAAAGGCGTTTTCTCATTGTTTATAAACTGTTCAATTGGTTCATGATTATTATTTTTTTTTTAAAAATATCACATTTTTGTGATACGACACTTTAAAAAAGAAACACCTTAATAGCCAATGGCTAAGGGATAAATACTTATTCCAAGCTATATCTATAAGGCGTAGCCCACAAAAAGATATATCGCACACGGGATAACTTGCAAGAGCCACTTCTGCGCATCGATGAGATTAAATGCTGCCATACTAAGGCGACATAAGGAGGACACTCAACGACTATATAAATAGAGGCTTGAACCTCAAGTACGAACATCTATTCCATATTAACTAAGCTTATAACTCAAATACTAACTTGAATATCAGAGTGCTTTGTAAGTTGTAACGCCCGACCGCTTCAAGAATCAATGACTATCCCCACATACTAACACAAGACTTTTGAGTGTGCTTTTTCCTCGAGAAGTGTGCGAGTGAGGAAAAAGCACACTCAAAAGTCTTGTGTTAGTATGTGGGGATTGTAACATCCCGAGCACTCACGAGGGCGGGGAGTGATCGCCGGTGCAAAGAGGCACGAACAAGGAGCGGCTCCTGACAGGCTTCCAGTGGGGGGTTACATGCATGAATGAACCGAATCGACACCCGAAAGAAAGTGATTCCAAAGGCTGTGCAGGTATAAGGCTGCACCGTTTGGGATAGCTTATAAGAATTAATTGGTACGACCTATGCTAACAAGATGCATCTGCTTTTCGGTAGCCCGGATCGGAAGAACTCCACAGTTAAGCGTGCTTGACTTGGAGCTTCCTGGAAAAACTTCCCAGGAGGTCACCCATCCCAGAATTGCCCCAAGTCAAGCACGTTTAACTATGGAGTTCTTCCGTTTCGGGCTACCGAAAAGTAGATGCATCTTGTTAGTATAAGTAGTACCAATTAATTCTTATAAGCCATTCCCAACTGTACTGTCCTATACCAGCACAATCTCTGGAATCCCTCTCTTTCGGGTGTTGATTCGATTCATTCATGTACCCCCGTCCCTAAGCCTACCAGGAGCCGCTCCTTGTTTGTGCCCTTTCGCACCATGCCTTTTCGCTCCGGCGATCATTCCCCGCCCTCGTCAACGCCCGGGATGTTACATGCCCACCAGCTTCCGCCTGGTTCGTCCTCGAACCACACCGTACTGGAAGAGAGGCTCTGCTCTGATACCACTTGTAACGTCCGGCCGCTTCAAGAATCAACGACTAACCCTACATACTAACACGAGCCTTTTCAGTGTGCTTTTTTCTCACTCGCACACTTCCCGAGAAAACTTCCCAGGAGGTCACCCATCCCAAAATTTTCCAAGTCAAGCACGCTTAACTATGAAGTTCTTCCGTTCTGGGCTACTGAAAAGTAGATGCATCTTGTTAGTATAGGTAGTACCAATTAATTCTTATAAGCTATCCAAAACTGTGCAGTCTCACACCTGCACAGTCTTTGGAATCCCTCTCTTTCGGGTGTCGATTCGATTCATTCATGCATGTAACCCCCAGCTGTAAGCCTGTCAGGAGCCGCTCCTTGTTTGTGCCCTTTCGCATTGGCGATCACTCCCCGCCCTCGTCAGCGCCCGGAATGTTGCAGGGATAGTCATTGATTCTTGAAGCGGTTGTGCGTTACATAAGTACCCCAAGTCGTCCCAGCCAATCAAGTCATCCAGTCTCAAATCCTCCATCTCACAGAGCATCCCATAAAAATGCGAAGCATCTCGAGGAGTCATCATCTTGTAACATTTATTCCAGCAAAAACCATACAACTATTGGATTTGGGTCAACTATGTGCGATCTAATCCTATTCATATTGGACTGATTAGAATCCGTGCTTGCTTATATAAATATTTAACCACTACTGGATTTGCTAAACAATAAGATATTTAAACAATATAAGAAATTTTATTTAATTTGTAAAATAATCGAAATTTTAGACAAAAAGATTTTGAAGGCAGGTTATTTTAGACAAAAAGATTTTGAAGGCAGAACATAACATTTTTATTTTTTATTTTTTAAATCACCAAGACAATTTTTTGTGCACAACATAGGAAAGGAAAAAGACTAGAAATTCATTTTTTTTAGTTTTTCAATCTAACTTTCATGTCGCACTCATCTTTCTCTGCAATCTTCTCCACATACATGCATCCTACTCTATGCTCTTCATCATCGTTTTCAAATCCTTTTTGGGTGAGTTTATGGGTAATGTTTATGTGATTAGTGTTTCTCATGTTGTTTCAAATAATCTTATCTGCTACACATACATAAAAGTGTATGGGACACATGTGAGGCCATGTAAATAAAAGAAAGAGAAAAAGGAAATAAGGATCCAACACGCTTATATATATATATATATATATATATATATATATATATATATATATATATATATATATATATATATAAGGATCCATTTATAAACTTTTTTTTATAAATTTTTGTAAATTACACTATGTACTCCCAGGAGAACATAGTATAACCTAGTGTTCTCCCGGGAGAACATAGTATAGTTTGTAAGAATTTGTAAACAAAAAGTTTGTAAATATAACCCTCCCCTAACATAGTGTAACCTAGTGTTCTCCCGAGAAAATATAGTGTAGTTTGTAAGAATTTGTAAATAAAAAGTTTGTAAATATACAATTTTTTTGTTTACAAATTCTTACAAAGTACACTATGTTCTCCCGGGAGAACTCTAGGTTACAGTATATTCTCCCGGGAGTACATAGTGTAATTTACAAAAATTTGAAAAAAAAATTTGTAAACAGATCCTTCCCATATATATATATATATATATATATATATATATATATATATATATATATATATATATATATATATATATGAGATAAAATTATCTCCTACAATATGAAAAATACTAATCCTACTATTTATTTGGGTGTACGAGACAATGTCCCAAAAGGAAAAGAAAAAAAATATTTCATGCATATTCAAATAGGAGATGATTAAAAGGTACATAATATTATATTTCCTTCCCTTTCCCATTTTCATTTTGCTCGAGGGATTATTTATGTTGTTGTTTTATTTTTTCTTGTTATTTGTTTTCACATTTAAGGTTGACAAATGGTTATTTTTCAATAAAAAACTATGTATAGATGTGCGAGTTGAATTTCTTTTTCCCTTGCCCAATCTTCAAAACTCTAATATGCACTTTATGTGTGTTAATGGACCAAAATATTGGGTCCTTATCCCAACAACCTAATAAATGAATAAGCTCACTAGCACTGATGGATAGAGGAACTCAAGTCAAAATCCTAACAACAGGATAAGACTTCATAACAACCTTATAACAAACTAAATGGAGTCTTAACCAGGTAACCCATTATAAATAAGGGTCACAATCATCATATACACACTTTTGACTCATTTTACTTTTGTTATTACTGTGCACATACACCACGCCTTGACTTACGTCATACCGTTTAAGTGCAAATTGATCCATACACCCATATGGTATCTCTTTCATAGATACCCGTGAGCGTACAGATCCAACATTGATCAATCACCTATCGGGTGAACATTCACGGTCCACCCGGACCGAATAATATGCTTCTTATTTTTTTTCTTCAATTTCTAAATATTATAGCATTCATCCGAAAAGAGGTGGCAAAACGAGTCAACCAGTGTCGTCCTGACCTGTCGTCAACACGCTAAAAACAGGTTGACTCGCCTCACCCCGC